TGAATAGGTTATTAGATGCCACTAAATTAGTAGTGTTTATGCAATTTTCAAAAACGAGTGCATAACATATTTCAAATTTTAGTTTGTGACGGAATATATTGCACCAGAACAATAGAACAGAGTAATATTAAACCAGCCTTCCACGCAGGTGCTTTCAAGAAACGGATTGCCAACTGCTTCATAATTGGTAATATAAAATTTAATATTGCTACAATGCCAATAGCATTTACTAAATGCATCAAACCATTAGTGATATATGTTGAAGATTGGTCCAAGTTTTTTAACCACCAAACGACATAGTAAAAGGGGCCTATCATGTGGGCGATCAGTAAGGTCGGTTTTCGTAAGTTACAATCAGGTAAAACAATCACGCAATAAGTCAAGTATCACATGTACGATGTAAATTTTCAACATTTCCAGCTTTACGTTTGTTCTGTAGACAGTTCCATTTTCGTGTTTCTAAAATTAAAGATCGTAATTAAACATTAAAATTATCGGCCAGAACACTTTTTTTCACTCTCCTTTTTTACTTTTACCGCAAAGGAATTGTACTGGTACAAGCTGTCCTATTTATTGGACACGAAATGGACCTATTGATCGTTATGTTATTATGTTGTTGTATCATGCATATTGTGCATAATATATTATGCATATACCGTATATGTTAACCAAAGAGCAATGCCCAAATATGTCGAAACGATCATTAAGTTGAGTATACTGAATTTTGAAGAGGTTTTTATCAAATTCATAAATAAACGAAGAAATTTATTGGCTATTGTACAAAAAGTTTTTAAACTGTAGATACCTGTACAGGGACTTCCGCCTCAAGCAAACGGATAATTGTCAAATTGGTCCGAATAAGATTCCGATTAGCGGACGACAATTGGACATTTCGTGCTGTAAAGAGACAAGTAGTTAATTAAATTTAATCTCAAACACATAGACACAAATGTCAAAAAACGGCCGATAAAAACATATATACAACCAGTGGGGTGTGTTGTTAGAAGCTTTTAGAATATCGTCTATAATAGCGGTTCCCAACCGGGTGCACGAATTGTTCGAACTTAATGGAATTAAGAATCTACCATTAAAAACACTGTAAATACCCTTGTAATGACAAAACAAACAGGGGGCCATGACTAATGACTTATTGTAAAGACTGAGTGCCCGTAACTTTGCTCATAGATGAGTCTACTTTACTACTGAGTGAGTACCCGTTACTATTCTCAGAGATGAGTCTGCCTTACTTCTGGGTCGGTCTGCATGATCTTTCTTTAATGAATATTGGTAGTCGCGAAACTTGAAGATACGATCAGGCAGATTTTCCATAGACTGTGTGAATAAAAAAGTAATGTCTCACCTATCCGTTCTTACGAGTTTGAAGATGCAAACTTTGCAAAATGTGTGCTGACATGGAAGCACCTGTGGTTCTTTTGGACCAGTCGTTTCAAATTTCGTTCCACAAGAATAACACTTTAATATTTCATCCCTAGCTAACTACGAGGCTTAGAATTTATACGTAATATTTTAAAAAATACATAGTTTAGGTTTCGTAAAAACTGCTAATACTAGACGTACATTCAATCGCAGTGGCGCGTTGAAAGCGTACAAGTTTATTACGTAACGTAAAGAGTGTGTATCTGCGTTGTTTCTCTCGTTTTTGCAACGTTGTACGTCAGTTACGTCGGTACGTAGTATCTCGTTTACTCGTCGGAGCTATGCAAATAGAGGGGTACTACTGAAGTGTTTGAACCGAAATGGCAGACACTGGGACGTAGTATGTGTACCAGGTTAGGGTTAGGCAATAGTTTTATTCAAATTGTCCTTACTTTAGTTCTATTACGAGTTCGGGGACAAGCCAAGTGACTCCCGTAATATTTGTAGCTGAAATTATTGCCTAACCTGGTACACATACAACGTTCCGGTGTCCGCCATCTTGGTTCACATACTTCGGGAATGCAAATAAAGGTTCTACCTCACTCCAGACTGCGAGCATCTCTTAAAGCTGGTCACCACAATCTAAGCCTTTTTTTCAAGCAACCCCCAAATTTAAAATTTTTTTTATTATAATATCTCGCGACCAAAGGATATTCTCAAATACTAAGCAGTATGTAATGCTTATGCCCTATATGGTCACAAAATTAACTGACTGACTGATAACAGCATATGCCGAGTTTTTACATCGTGATACTTCCCGCATATAAAATTGAGCAACACTTCAATACCAAATTAAAATCAAATTAAAAAATTTTTTCTTTAAAATGAGAAAGTTCTGTTCTGGTCCGCGACCCCTAAGTTGGGGAGCACTGATTTTAGCTTGGGTTATGGGTTCGGAATTTAACATGTAGTTACTGGAGTCCAAATCGGATTTTTTGAGTTTACAAAGAGTCCATATCAGTCTATTACAGTGCACTCGAACTTTCAAGCCACGCCCCCTTTTTAGAATTTTTCTAGTCTTGCGCCCCACCTCAAAAATAACTAGCTAACAATAAGCTACGAATAACATATAGTAAAGCGAAAGTATGTTTATTCAAAAAACACGTTGAAAATATGTGGATGAAATGTAAATATCCAAAATAAGGCGGGCAAGATCAAATCTAACAAATATTTTCATTATTTTCATTAGTTCAACGTCCCCTCAAAAAAAATTGTCCACGCCCCCTTCATGGGGCGCTCCCCGCCCCACCTATTGAAAAGATTGCATACCCAAATTTTGGTTTTCAAAATTTCATTTTCTGGAGTTTGGGGTCGGAGTCGAAGTTTTATACAACCGGGGGTTGTGGTCGGAGTGAAAAATTTTCCTAACCGGTAGTCGGAGTCTGGGTAAATTTTGCCCAATCCCACATCCGTGGCCTAGATTAGGAATATTAAATATGGCGACTGGAACATTGAAATTCACCTTAACTATTTAATCTCAATTTACCTCCTAGCAGGCCCCTTATTCAGCAACTATTCTTTCATTTTTTCATTCATCCGTTTTTCGGAACTTAGACATTGCTGTCAGATGAAATCATATACCTACAAAGCCTTTGGGACTGGGCATTTTCGAATGCCTGATGATTTCAGAATCGATCGAATATTCTCTTTGAATCGAACCGAATCTCGAATACTTGGAAGATGTAACTTTCCTATTGTATTAGGTCCTCCGGACGCATAAATTATTGAAAACATAGAATACATCACTCAGGCAGATTTCTGATCGTTTACACACAATAAAAAACACGTTTTCATCAATAACTCACTACAGAGAAGAGTCATATGTCAGAATTGTGTTGAAAAAATATGGCTTCGATAAAAAAAATTGAGATATTTATTTCGACCATTGGCGGAAAGAAAACAACAAGATGGTGGCGATTCAGAATTTTTCTCTGAACGCCTCGAATAATTTACTGTTCGATTCGAAATGCCCAGCACTTCTCGAACGTTTTCCGCATCTGATAAGTCTTATGTAGCTTCATTTACATTTACCCTGGATACATGGATGCCAGGTGGCACGCAATATAGGGCGCCATTCAAGTGTTAATAGGAACATATAGGGTGTCCATAAAGTCCCTTTACAATTTCAATTATGTTAATGTTTGACTCTTGTACGAATTGGCGATAGGATTTGAAGTCGTACTTGCTTATGAAACAAACAAACGGCGTGATATAAAAAAATATACAGAGTAATGAAGGATAGGATATACATATTATTTTTTTTTTATCCCGGGGGGATAGTAAAGCCGATAAGACGGCTTAATTATATGGCGAACCACGGCCTCTCTGCCAGTTACCAGTCCATGTCGTGTATAGAATTAGTTAGTCAGTTATTTGTTTTCAGAATGGTGGAGAAAGCGTTGGAACTTCCTACGGCAGAAGGAGTCCGTAGCAATTCTCTTGCACATAACTATGCCCTCATGGGATTTAAGTGGGTTTCCTGTGAGATCTGTTATTTCATCTAGAATGCGGTGCATAATTTTTAATTATGGGAACACTTTTTTATGATAACACGATGTCTGTCCTACATGTTTTTATGACATCGTGACGGTTGATACGGGTAGCGTACTGTGACAGATTGCACGCCTCCAGACATTTTTAAAATAAATAAAAGTATTAACCTTCTACCATGTTTCCCCGAATATAAGACCTAGCCTCAATGTTAAAAACAAGCCCTCTCCTTAAAATAGGACTCAGTGAATAGCGCGAAATTTTTTGACCTAATCTATATCTCCTACACGTTTTAAATTAAATGATTATTAACCTATGTATAGCAGTTTTTTTAAATAAAACTTGTCATTTACAAGTAAATGAATATCGGTTTTCGTATTTTGTATAGAAGAAGTTTTCAATTCAATTTGGTACGTGCGAGTAATTCCAATCCCTTTGCAATGCGAAGCCTTTACCTGGGTCCAATTTATTATCTACGCCTATGACGTTACAATGCCTTAACAGCAAGCTTCTGCAAACCACTCATGTCTCAAGATCAATAACCAACATTTTTGTGCCTGCAACTACTAGACAGGCTATGTTAAATAAAGGTGCGGATCGAGATTTCACTCAGTTATTTCTATCTGGCCTTCCTGTATTAAGGGTTGCACAACCCTGGTATAGTATATCATTTCAATTTCAGACGAAAATGTCGAATCCCCGCCATCTTGTTTATTTTTGCCCGCCAAAAGGTCGGAGTGAATCGTCGACTGTACAGACAGCGACATCAGTGAAATTTTCTGGTTCTGCATCGCCTACACAAATCATCACAACCTGGGTAAAGTGGTGTGCATGGGATTTGAACCCGAAATATCTAACTGGTCTGATAATATGCTGAAAATCATTAATTCATTACACTAAAATAAAAAATAAAAAAACCAGCTATATAAAGCAAAAAGAAAACTGAAGAAAAATATTTTATTTTTCAATATATTTGACATAAAGTAAAATATTAGACTGGCGTTTCATAATTTCCCAAATTTTGGTAGTTTTATGTCAGTTGAGTGAATGCAAGCCTTCAGTCAAGTGTCGAATAAGATTATGATAGATAAAATGTTAGAGCCACTAAATTAATAAATGCAATGTACATAAATGAATGCATAGCATATTTTAATTTTTAGTCTGTGACGGGAAATACTGTAACAGAATAGCAAAACAGAGTAATATTAAGCCAACCTTCCACGCTGGTGCTTTCAATAAGCGGATTACCAACTGCTTTATAGTTGGTGATATGAAGTTTAATAGTGTTACAAAGCCTATGGCAGTCACCCAAGACAGTAGCTCTAAAATAATCATTTTTGGCGAGTTTTTCATGTCATTTTTCCACCAAATGAATTTGTAAAAGGGCAGTATCATGTATACCAACACTTGAGACGGTTTTTGTAATTTCACCACGTTATAATTTGGCTGCAACAACACATCTTTCATAATTGTCATTATCAAATAAACGATGTAAATTTTCAACATTTCCAGCTTTATGTTTGTTCTGTAGACAGTTCCGTTTTCCTGTTTGTAAAATTAAAGATAATAATTATTACTAAAATACCAGAAGAATTCACACGATTTAGACCCCCATATTGCTTCTTAAAGAAAGGAAGGGGAATTGTAACACGAAATGGATCTATTGATCGTCTTGTTATTATGTTGTTGTATCATGCATATTGTGCATGGTATATTATGCATTTTCCGTATATGTTAACCAAAGAGCAATGCCGAAATATTTCGAAACGATCATCAAGTTGAGTATCCTAAATTTTGATGACATTTTTATCACTTTTGGAAGTAAACGGAGAAAGGTATTGGCTATTGTACAAAGCTTTTAAAGTGTAAATACCTGTACTGGGACTTCCGGGACTGGAACTGGAACTTCTTCAAGTAAACGGATAATTGTCAAATTGGTCCGAATAAGATTCCGACGAGCGGCTGTTATGGCGGGATGAACTTCACGACAAGTTGGACATTTCGTGCTGTAAAAAGACAAGTATTTAATCAAATTTAATAAATCTCGAATATATAGACACAAATGACAAAAAACGGCCGATAAAATCGTATCTACAACCAGTGGTGTGTGTTGTCAGAATCTTTTGGAATGTCTTCCATAAAACTAGTTCCCATCCGGGGACACGAATTGTTGGAACCTAGTGGAATTACGAATCCATCACCTAAAACACTGTAAATACCCTTGTAATGGCATACAGGGGTGGGGGGATGACTAATTGTAATGACGGGGGCACGTAACTTTTCTCAGAGATGAGTCTACCTTACTTCTGAGTGAGTGCGTGTAGCTTTACTTAGAGATGTGTCTCTTTTACTTTTGAGTGAGGGCCCGTAACTTTGCTCAGAGATGAGTCTGCGTTACGTTTCTGAGTGACTGTGCGTAACGTTGCTCAGAGATGTGTCTCTTTTACTTCTGAGTGAGTTTCCCTAACTTTGCTCAGAGATGAGTCTGCGTTACTTTTCTGAGTGACTGTGCGTAACGTTGCTCAGAGATGAGTCTCTTTTACTTCTGAGTCAGTGCCGTAACTATGGTCAGAGATGAGTCTCGTTTACTTGTGGGTGATTGCGCGTAACTTTGCTCAGAGATGAGTCTACCTTTATTCTGAGTGAGTGCGTGTAGCTTTACTCAGAGATGTGTCTCTTTTACTTCTGAGTGAGTGCTCGTAAAGTTGCTCAAGAGATGAGTCTGCGTTACTTTCGAGTGACTGTGCGTAACGTTGCTCAGAGATGATTTTGCGTACCTTCTGAGTGACTGTGCGTAGCGTTGCTCAGAAATGAGTCTGTGTTACTTCTGAGTGACTGTTCGTAACGTTGCTCAGAGATGAGTCTGCGTTACTTCTGAGTGACTGTGGTTAACGTAGCTCAGAGATGAGTCTGCGTTACTTTTGAGTGACTGTGCGTAACGTTGCTCAGAGATGAGTCTGCGTTACTTTTGAGTGATTGTGCGTAACGTTGCTGAGATGAGTCTCCTATACATCTGAGTGAGTGCCCGTAACTTTGCTCAGAGATGAGTCCGCGTTACTTTTCTGAGTGACTGTGCGTAAGGTTGCTCAGAGATGAGTCTCGTTTACTTGTGAGTGGGTGCGCGTAACTTTTTTCAAAGATGAGTGTACTTTACTTCTGAGTGAGTGCCTGTAACTTTGCTCAAAGATCAGTCTATCTTACTTCTGGGTAGGTCCGCGTGACCTTGCTTGGAATACTAGTAAATATTAGTAGTTGCGAAACTTAAAGCTACGATCAGGCAGCTTTCCAATAAGCTATGTAAATGAGGAAGCAATGTCTTACCTATCTGTTCTTACGAGTTTGAAGATGCAAACTTTGCAAAATGTGTGCTGACAAGGAAGCACCTGTGGTTCTTTTGGACCAGTCGTTTCAAATTTCGTTCCACAAGAATAGCACTTTAATATTTCATCCATAGCTAAGCTCCGACTTAGAATTTATACGTAATATTCTAAAATAAATACATAGTTTAGGTTTCGTAAAAACTGCTAATACTAGTACGTAACGTAAAGAGTTTTTCTCTGCGTTGTTTCTCTCGTATTTGCAACGTCTTACGTCAGTTACGTCAGCACGTAGTTTTCTCGTCGGAGCTATGCAAATAAAGGTTATACCAGAGTACGACAGTATAAGCCAGTGGTTTTAAACCTTTTTTTCAAGCGACCCAAATTTTTTAAAAAATAAATTTGTAAAATCGTTCGACCCAAGGAAATGCTCAGTATTTTCATGGCTACAAAATTAAATTATTGATACAAAAAGTATCGTTTTTACAAAATATTTATTCTACCAAAAATTGCTTCAAAGTGAGAAATTTACGCTCGTTTGCTATCAACGAGTTTTTGAATACGTAGCGTGATTTTGCTTGAGCGAAATAGGGCTCTCCTGTAGTATGTGAACCAAGATGGCTGACACCGGAACATAGTATGTGTACCAGGTTAGGGTTAGGCCATAACTTGATTCCAATTTTCCTTATTTTAGTTCTATTACGAGTTCGGGGACTAACAAAGTGACTCCCGCAGTACCGGTATTTTTACCTGAAATTATTCACATATATATATATACTACGGGAGTACCCAGAATAGATGCTTTCAAGTTTTTATAATATGATACCTTCCACATTTATATAAAATTGAGCAACACTTCAATACCGAATGAAAATCAAATAAAAAAAATATAATACGTTGAAATGAGAAAGGAAATAAAGTTGTGTAAAAGGCTAGCGATCCAGTATTGGTCCGCAATATCATCGAATAACTGATGATTTCAGAATTTAATCGAATATTGTCTTTGAATCGAACCGAATCTCGAATACTTGGGAGATGTAACTTTCTTATTGTATTAGGTCCTCCTGACATATGAATTACTGAAAACATAGAATACATCACTCAGGCAGATTGCTGAGCGTTCACACACAATAAAAAACATGTTTCATCAATAGATCACCACAGAAAAGAGTTATATGTCAGAATTGGTTGAAAAAATATGATTTCAATAAAAAAATTGAGATATTTATCTCGACCATTGGCGGAAAGAGAACAACGAGATGGGGGCAATTCGAAATTTTGCTCTAAAACGATTCGAATAATTTAGTATTCGATTCGAAATGCCCAGCACTACTCGAACGTTCTCCGCATCTGATGAGTCTTATGTAGCTTCATTTACATTTACCCTGGATACATGGATGCCCGGTAGCCCGCTATATAGGGCGCCATTCAAATGTTAATAGGAACATATAGGGTGTCCATAAAGTCCCTTTACAACTTCAATTTTGTTATGAAGTTAGTTCTCAATATATCGTAACCAGGTTCGTTGTTTTTTAATGAGTAATTGTTTAAATATTTTTACTTTATTTAATACATCTGTGAGGCCCGAAACAATAAAAGGCATCGATAAATCCCCTTCGCATTTAAAAAAATTCAAGACTCTACAGAAAACCCTATGTATCTATCCTAGATCCCAAACCGCTCCAAATGGTGATATGCGACCATATATCTATCCCTATGACTAACCAGCTGTCTATTTGGCAGTCCAAAGCCCTTTGCAAAGGAGGCCATTCAAAATGGCAACTAGAATCCATTCTTTTTAATGCCAACCAGCTGTCTGTGAGGTAGCCGAATAGTCCCCTACTAAAGAGTTCATTTAAATGATAATTGAGACCATAAATACATCCCTCTTACTAACCTGCTGTCTATATGGCAGCCCAATAGCCCTCTATATGAAGAATACGATTCAAAATGGCGATTGGGACCACATATTCATCTTTATTCTTAACCTGCTGTCCGTATGGAAGACTAATATCCCACAACTGAAGAGTTCATTTAAGGAGCAATTGAGGCCAAAACTACATCCCTATTCCTGACTTGCTGTCTATATGGAAGCACAATAGCACTCTACAGAGAAGGCCAATAAAATAGTGACTGGGACCACATATCCATTCCTATTCCTAACCTGCTGTCTGTATGGAAGACTAACAGCCCACAACTGAAGAGTTCATTTAAATGACATTTGAGGCCATAAATATATCCCTATTCCTAACCTGATGTGTAAGTGGCAGCACAATAGTCCCTAACTGAAGAGTTCATTTAAAAGGCAATTGAGGCAATAATTACTTCCTTATTCTTAAACTGCCATCTACGAGTATTTGCCAACGCAATATCTCTCGACAGAAGTACCCGTTCGAATGGTGATTGGCGTCCTTTCCAATTCCTAACTTGCTGTTATTAAAATAGTAACCCAATAACACTATACGGGTAATGCCATTCAAATGGCAAATGCGCCCAAATACACGCCCACATGAGCTGGTATTTATGTGACAGCCCAGGCTTTGAGTTATTGCTGATGCAGAAACACTAATCGCGATATGTTAATGTTTGACTTTTGTGCGAATTGGAGTTGAGATTTCGAGTCGTACTTGCTTACGACTAATGATAACGATAATGCAAACAAACGGCGTGATAGAACAAATATACAGAGTAATGAAGGATAGGATATACATATTATTATTTTTTTTTATCTCGGGTGATAGTAAAGCCGATAAGACGGCTTAATCACATGGCAAACCACGGCCTCTCTTCCAGTTCCCAGTCCATGTCGTGTATGGAATTAGTTATTCAGATATTTGTTTTCGGAAGCATAGACCTGATGGTGGAGAAGTGGTAACCGACCAGCGGTTACGTGAACCCCTTACAGCAAAAGAAGTCCAACAATCCTTTCTCACATAACTATGACCGCATAAGATTTGAGTGGGTTTTCTATGAGATCTGATATTTCATCTATATTGCGCTGTATAATTTTTGAATATAGGAACACGTTTTTATGATACCGTGATGGCTATATTCTACGTTTCTATGACATCGTGACGGTTATACCGGTAATCTACTCACTACTGTGACAGATTGCATACCCACAGAAAGTTTCGAAATAAATAAAAGTAATAGCCTACCGTGATTTCCAAAAATAAAACCTAGCCTTAATTTTAAAAACAAGCCCTCCCCTTAAAATAAGACCTAATGAATAGCGCGAAATATTTTGACCTAGTCGATAACAAGAAATACTTCTACACGTTTTCAACTAAATAATTACCTGGTCTGATATTACGCTGAAAAAAATCATTATTTAATTACCATAAAATAAGGAGCACAGCAATATGAAGCAAGAATAAAACTGAATATATATATTTTTTTTATATATTTAACATAAAGTAGAGTGTTAAACTGGCGTTATAAAATGTCTCAACTTTTGCTAGATTTCTGGTTCTCCCGAAGTATTAGTACCAAGATGGCGCACATCCTGAACATAGTACGTTCTGGTTAGGGTTGTTCAGTTTGTGCGTCATTTTGGTACAAATACTCTCGGAGCGCTGATTTCTGTCAGTTGAGTGGATGCAAGCCTTCAGTCGAGTGTCAAATTTGTTAATGATGGATAAAATGTTAGATTCCACTAAATTAGAATTTGCAATGTACATAAACGAATGCCTAAACATATTTTAAATTTCAGTCTTTGACGGGAAATACTGCACAACAATTGCGAAACAGATAACCATTATGCCAACCTTCCATACCGGAGCCTTCAAGAAGCGAATTACTAACTGTTTTATAACTGGTGATATACCGTTTAATACTGTTACAATGCCAATGGCATTCACCCAAAGAATTAGATCTAAGATAATATTTTTTGGAATGTCTTCCATGTCTCTTTTCAATATAATCGCAGGATAAAAGGGCATTATAATGAAACTCAAAAAATTCGAAGGTTTTCTTAATTCCATAACGTTAAAATTTGGCACAAAGACCACGCATATCATGATTGCCATTATCACATGAACGATGTGAATTTTCAAAAATTCCAGCTTTGCATTTCTTCTATTGACGGTTGTATTTTTCTGTTTGTAAAATATTAAATCAAATTTAATACTTAACGCAAATACTTGTTTTCTTTAATACTTGTTCTCTAAAATTTTTTAAAAACTCTGGATTCTAAACAGTTTTGTAATATTTTATACTAAAAAATTCACGGGTAAAATTTATATATTTTACAGGGTATATATTGTATCTCCTTATTCCCGCCATGGTAGTGTTGCTTATTTGGATGAGTATTTTTAAATTTGATTTAAAGTCTTTACAATAGCCAAAAAGATCTATATGTCCGTACCGTGTTCACAAATAGATACTCACGTAGTGTGTGTACCAGGTTAGGGTTAGGCCATAATTTCATTCCGATTTTCCCTATTTTCGTTCTATTACAAGTTTGGTGACTGTCTGTGTCAGTCAAGCAAATATAACACATGCCCATAAGTTTCAGTCCTTTTTCACAACTTGATGTAAAGTAGGCAAACAAAATTAGTTACTCCATATTGGTACACACACTTCCGGAGCGCCCAAAAATATATATTTAAGAATCTCACCTTAAGTAAACTGAGAACTGTCAAATTGTTCCGGACAGCATTGCGATTAGCGGAAGTTATTGAGTCATGGACCTCCTGACATGATGGGCATTTCGTACTGTAAACAAGAAAGACAAACTTGGAAGCAATGTTAAAATATATGGACGCGAAGATCGCCTATTGGTACCGGTAATGACCTCAGCTTAGCATAATGTTTGCAGATAAAGCGGCAAACAAGCAGGAAAAAATGTTTCCACGTTACATAAAAGGAACCACACGTAATAATGTTACTATAGGACTAAAGAGTGTTCCCATGAAAAAAATTACTAAACAGAAAATTTTTGGATGAAATTTGATTCCCATAAGACCTGAAGTGATAATGACAAATGTGAAAAATTAAACCTTTTTACTTTTCTTTCAATAGACAGGTTGGAAAGCTTAAAAATTTTGTCGATGTTCTGTAGTAATTTTCACTTTGATTATTATCATGAAAGCACTGGAATTCGATTTCGTGGAATTCAAAATTTCGACTGCGATTTCCAAGTGCAAGGTATTTTGTGGCGTCTAGAGCTGCCGCAAAACCATGGCAGCATTTCCAAACCACGGCCGCTAAGACCAAACCCACGGCGACTGACTTTTTAGCTGCCACAAACCAATAGCGAGCTGTCGTAATTACGACAGCAAATCGAATAACACCAATTTTGCTGCCGTAACCATCGGCTGTAATAGCAGGGCTGCTCCTGATCTGCTGATGGTGATAAATATTGGGTGAGTTGGAACGTTTTTCTTATGGATACAGTTTAGATGGATTTGGGATCAGGTTTAGGTTTGTAAATATACCGGTAATAGCGCCATAAAATCATGGCAGGAGACAGCGTGGTACATTCGTGGCAGGAGCTGCCATGAAGTGGTGACAACTGCGCCTCGCGATTTTTATTTCTACTAAAAATTTGAAAATACGACACCGACTTCGATTCTAATGAAAAAAAATGTGTCTGGCTACAATTCCGCCACCCCAATATCTTCCCTTTCCATTTGCAAACATAAATTTGGGGATTTGTATTGACTTTGAATTAAATGCTTCTGTTATCTACTGTATTCTCATTAGTGAAGGATGGCGAGTATCTATCGGTAATTTTCGACTTTCAAATGAGAGCTCGAGGATTTGTTTTAAAAAAAAACCGAACAAAAAACGTGATAAGAAAAGTCCTAAAAACAAAGCAATATTTCACCTATCTTGTCCTATGAGTGTCGAAATGCAAGCTCTGCAAAATGTGTGCTGGCATGGAAGCACCTGTGGTTCTTTTGTCCCAGTTGTTTCAAATTTCTCTTCACAAGAGCTGCATTTCAATATTTCTTCCATCGTTTATTTACCGACAAGGCTAGGATTTCTCTGCAATGTTCAAAAACAGAACTCGTAATTATTTAATTGGTAGTCACGTACAACAGTGGTAAACTACAGCATTGAAGTGAAGTTACTATTTCCCAAAATTTTTTTATTAAAAATTAAAATTCAATTCTTGCAAACATCTATTCCTACAAAACCACATTCTCACAAAGAACATACAAGATAAGGCGACGCAAAAAATGCTTCAACGGGCTCTAGTCTGCCCATCCCTGTCGTAATACGCTATCACATTGATTCTCAATCTTTTTAAGCTGCGCCTTGTTTTTAGAATTTGTCAAGTCTCCCGCCCATCTCAAAAATATCTAGCTCACAATAAGCTACAAATGACAGATAGTAAGGCTAAAGTATTTTTTATTCAAAAAAAAAACACGTTAAAAAACGTGGATGGAACGTTAATGTAAATATCCAAAATAAGGCTTATATTTAGCTTCAAGCCCCCTCGAAAAAGTGCCTACTCTCCACTTTTGGGCGCACCCCACCGTTTGCAAACCACTGCGCTGATGACATGAGTGATGATCCAACTTATAGGAAAACGGCGAACCATTACGCACAAACCTTTGGTCCCAAGGTGACCTGGGCACCGTACAAAACTGCAAGCAACAAAGCATATATCGAAAACAAAGCCACATATACAGTTACATATCGCGCTTCTTTCACGGGTATCGCATCACGCCAGGCACTTTTAAAAATACTAGCAAAGTTACCTTACTTGCGAGGTAAACGGATAACTCAATAAGCCCTATTCTACATAAATAATTTTCATAGCAGCAAGATATGTATTACAGTGTTATTCCCAAATCCAGCAAACAACGTATAAGGTTTAGTCTAACCCATATAACTGTATAAATCACGCAATTAGCATACGGATTATTCTTGTTTTCTTTTATTAGTAATGATGCCTCGGTGATTTCGTGCATTCGTGGATTGGACAATTTTCTCTTTTAATAACCTTTGTCTACACCATGGGGCTCCATGCAGAATGAGCGTTTGTTTAAGAAGAGCGATTAGAATTAATTTACAGAAGCTTGCAGGGTATTTCGAATCTCGAGTTTTGAATGAAGTCATTATTTGGAATAGTCCTGCCTGAATCCGATTAGATTAACAATGATAGTAGATTTTTATTGTTTAATTTTTTGATATAAAACTTTAGGTACAAAAATTCGCCAGAAAATTTAGTTATATGAAGCGGACGAGAACGGATGGTGATGAGTATAGATGGTCCCGATCGGCATTTTCCGTGGCCTTCTTCATAAATAGGGCTATTGTGCTGCTATATAAACAGCAGGTTAGAAATGGGGATGTATTTATGGTCTCAATCGCCATTTAAATGAACTCTTCAGTTGTGGGCTGTTAGTCTTCCATACAGACAGCAGGTTAAGAATAAAGATGGGTGCTCCCGAAGTATGCGAACCAAGATGGCGGACTTCGGAACGTAACATGGGTAACAGGATAGGGTTAGGCGATAATTTTTTTCCAATTTTCCTTATTTTAGTCCTATTATCAGTTCGAAGACTAGCCAAGAGCCTCCCGTAGTATTTATACCTAAAATTATGGCCTAACCCTAACCTAGTACACATATTACATCCCGATGTCCGCCATCTTGGTTCGCATACTTCGGGGCCCCTAAAGATGGATATGTGGTCCCAATCGCCATTTTGAATTGTATTCTTCATAAAGAGGGCTATTGTGCCGTCATATAGACAGCAGGTTAGGAATAAGGATGTATTTATGGTCTCAATCGCTTTTTGACTGAACTCTTTAGTTGTGGACTAATGGGCGTCCATACAAACAGCAGGTTGACATTAGAAAGAATGGATCCCAGTCGCTATTTTGAATGGCCTCCTTTGCAGATGGCTATCGGACATTAAGTCCTAATTTTTTTTTAATTGCAAAGGGAATTTATCGATACCATATTTTGTTTTGGCCATCGCAGATGTATTAAATGAAGAAAAGTTACAACAATTACTGATTAATTAAAGCAACGAACCTGGTTAAGATATATTGAGAACTGACTTTCATAACAAAATTGAAATTGTAATGGTTCTCTATGGACACCCTGTATGTTCGTTTCTGTTGTCATTTGAATGGCACGCTAAATATTGTCTGTATTGAATGAAGCACATATTCAGTTACATACGCGACCCTTTCATGGGTGTCGCATTAAGCATGCGGTCTCACATTAAAAAATAATAATAAAGTTAGTGGGATTTCGCGGTTAAACGAATAAAACGAATAGGCCCTATTCTACAGAAATCATGCTTATAGCAACCAAATAATTAATAAATTTGTTTTTTCAAAATCCACCGAACACCCTGGTAGCGTACAAAATTCAGTCTATCCTATGCAACCTTACGTAAAATCGCATATGAACGATACGTGTTTTTTATTAGCAAAAACGCCTCAGTGATTACGTACCTTCATTTGTCTTACTGTGGCTCTTCGTGTAGAGAGGTTCCGCTCACGATTATTTCGTCTGATGCAACACGGCGAATAGAATTAAAACACACGGGACAGCCTGCAGTGAGTGTTTATCTTGAGTATAAAACCACCGTCTTGGGCGCTCCGGAAGTTTGTGTACCAAGATGACGCACAACCTGAACCTTAACCTGATACAGTACACATACTATGTTCAGGTTGTGCGCCATTTTGGTACACATACTTCGGGAGCACCCAGTCCTGAAAAAGGTTATTATTTAGGAAAGTTGGGCCCATCTCAATCAGATTATATTTACAATGATAGAAAAGGATTGGACTTTCACATTTACCCTTGGGGAGTAAAGTCGGTAAACTGCGAAAACGTCTATCAAGGAATTGATACTTCAGTCAAGTTTTTTTTTGCAAAGACGGTTTCCGGTCGGACTCGGTAGTTGTTACGGTCTGACTTGGCAATTGAGTATTTAGGCTTGACAAACTCCGAGTCCACAGATTTGACTGAGAATGAAGGCGTGAAACCACAAAACCACTGAAATTTTTTTTTATTCAAAATAGTTTTCCGTAAAACGTTAGAATTCAAGTAATTTTCACAAAAAAATGGACGCAATATTGAAATGTGAGTATTGCCAAGAGTTGTTTGGAAGAACGGGAAATCGGGAGCCCAAGATGCTTCCGTGTCAGCACACGTTTTGTAAAAGATGCGTCAATAAATTTGTGGATTCAGAAGGGTGAGTTTCATCTTTATATTGACAGAATTTTGAGCCAAACGAGATTTTAAGTCAAAATACAGCTGAAACTTTCCAGACCCGCAAGCAGTGGTGTATATAGGGTATGGCAACCATGGCTCGTGTCATGGGCGCCTTTTGAACAGGGCGAGAAAAGGGCAAAAAGTCATCGTGAAATGCTTCAATGAAAGAATTTCAAATTAGGAATAACTGAAATTTGTCTTTTTACTCAAACAGTAACATACGAGTATCTCATTTCAATAACATTCATTTTAAATTGTCAAACAACGATCAAGGGAGCGCCTTTTTAGACCTTGCCATTGGCGCCATTTTACGTAGATACGGATTACCCACAAGAATATTAATGGCAACATAACCTACGACCACCAATTTAAAGCAATTTGGCTCCAACGTCAGTCTACATTAAATAAGAAAGCGATGCTCAAATATATGGACACGAAATAAAAAAACGCTGTGTTACGGGTATGCAATCTATCACAGTACAGAGTAGACTACCGGTACCAGCGCCACGTTGTCATAAAAAGGGGGAAGATAGTAGTCACGATGTCATAAAACGTGTTCCCTTAATTAAAAATTGAACGGCGCATTTTAAGTGAAATATCAAATCTTACAAGACATTTAGGAACAAATAAAAATAACAGCCCCCTAGTAAAAAATACAATCTTTGACTACTAAAAATTTCAACACAATCGGTCCAGTAATTGAAGAGAGAAGCAATATATTTCATAACGATAGGAAGAAACGAACACATAAAAACAAAACGGACCTCCTGGAGTATGCGCACCAAGATGGCGCACAACCGGAACTCAGGTTGTGTATCAGGTTAGGGTTCAGGTTGTGCGACATCTTGGTGCGCATACTTCAGGAGTACCAACAAAACGATCTATATGCATGTCTATTTCTTGTCCAAAAAGCGAGCGTAGTATTAGACTTAACAGTATTAGCCCCTGAATCCGTACTACTGCCCTTGAAAACTTGAAGTCCTATCTCAACTGCTTTTTACTTATCGATCTTAAGATCGGTAAGTATATTGATAGGTATTTGTCTGTCTGTGTGTGTGTCTGTTAGATGCACGAGATATCTCACGAAAGCGAGATTGAATCTGCTCCAGATTTTGCATGTGCATTCATCTTATCTAGGACCAGATCCCTATTGATTTTGGGCGAATTATGTCGTATAATTAGCGAGTTATCAATCAATTATTGATATAGTGATCTAGATTTTTGTAAAGCGAGAGAATTTTGAAACCCGCCGAGTGTGTGTGTGCGATGCGCAGTGCGCAAGTTACAAGAGCGGATGAATCGAAACTGCAGTTTCTGTTTTGGGGGATCCCCTAACTATCGATCGATAAGTCTTCGGTTTCCAACCGATATTCTCGTTTTTACTTTAGAACTGTTTGCCCAACTTGTCAGGTGACTCATACCGACATAACGAGTCCACAGAGCAACTCCATCAAGAATAACCTCGCCATCTTTCGTATACTCAACGCTAAACGTGCTGGACAGGTAAGCTTGTGGTCTGAATTTAAAATCATCTATAAATGCAGGACAGACAAAAACAAAAAAGCCCCGTCTATTTCTTAAATTAAAACACGTTTGTAAAGTCCAACTATTATTTGAAGATAAATTAACTATAATTGGCTATGCCATCGAGTCTGGATTGAGCTAGAATTAAAGTATTTCAGGTCAAGACTTCCAGAGATTCTTGTGTGGGCGACCGACATACGTTTTTCCTATTTGAATTTTCCTTGGTCGACACACTAGCTCGGACATCGTTCCGAAGTCATTGGGTATTAACATATAAATAAGTTTTGGAGTCTTCGCTTGTGTTATCCGGGCCATTTTTTATTTCTAAATAATAACCGGCTCTATTAATTAACATGGAACTGAAGAAATATAATAGGTATCACTTCGACTTCTGTTTTTATATGATTGTACTAATTTGTTTCAGTAATGTTCGATTCTTCACAAAAATTATGTTATTGGCCTGCGTTTTGTTTTTTGGTCTACCACTAAGTATTCCCCCTTCTTGTAGCAAACGGGTAAGAGTTGTTCAGATTTTGGCCTTATGCATCACATTTTGGTAAATTGATTGGTATTTCTGAGGTGCCAATTCTACCCCTAATCTATTTGGGAACACTCCCTAAAATGAAAAGCTGAGGAAAATACTGAGAAATATCAATTTACGTCAAGCACTTCAGTTTCATAAAATCTTTTTTTTTTAGGTTGAAGTTGAAGATGACGAAAACAGAAGCCTGTTCTCATATGGTGGAGAAATCGTGAAAATCTACATAATCAACGTCTTGCTTTGGGCTGTTCGTACAGTAAACCATACGGCACCTTTCTCTCTTCAGTTCAGATACAAATCCGTGGGGGATTTCGTTTGGGAAATGGCAAAAATGCCGGTCGCGGTTTTCTTAAAATCAGAAATGCACCAAGACGAGATCGAATACGGTTACTTATTCTGGGGGCTAGCGATTGTGATTGTGGCTGTAGTAAACTACACGTGGCCTACTGTACAGAAAGCAGCGTTATACCTGTTACGTGCACCCGTATGGAAAGCCGGCTTAACTGCCCTACTGATTTCGATTCCCTTCGTGTTACAATCCCCAGCCTTTAGAAGCAGGGTTGCAACACTATTTCCAAAGTAGTCTCCCTCGATTATTTCCGCAAATTTCTTCGTTTTTTTTTAATCAGTAATCAGTAATTAGGCTTTTACCTTTTTATTGTCGCCTTCCAATATATAAGGTGTCCATAAAGTCTTTTTACAATTTCAATTTTAGGTGTTCCCGAAGTATGTCCTGAACATAGTATGTGTACTAGGTTAGGGTTAAGGTTGTGCGCCATCTTGGTGCACACACTTCCGGATCGCCCAATTATGTCATGAAGTCAGCTTTTAATATATCTCAACCAGTTTTTTTTTAATCAGTAATTGTTCAAATATTTTTACTTCATTTAATACATCTATGAAGGTCAAAACAATATATGGTATCGATAAATACCTGGTTGCAATTTGCAAATATTTTAAAATTTTAAGACTTTATGGACACCTTCATATCCAACCTTTTTTCGGTTTTACTTTGGTATGCGATCTAACCAATTGTGTAATTTCCGTGCTTCTAGGTAAAGTTAGGATGTAAATTCTATGTCTTCATGGGATCAAATGCATATCCAAGTGACACGAACGTAAGCTTGAGCTTCCCTATATCAGTGGTTGTCGAACTTCTAAGTCACGCCTCTTTTTAGAATTTACCAAGTCTCGAGCCCCACCTCAAAAATAAGTCGTTATCAATAAGCTACAAGTAACAGACAGCAAGGCGAAAGTATGTTCTATTCAAAAACACGTTGAATATACGTGGATGGAACGTAAACATCTAAAATAAACCTGGCAAAATTAAATCTAACAAATATTTTTATTTAGCTCCACGCCCCTCAAAAATTGGCCACACCCTCCTCGTGGGGCCCGACCCATCGTTTGAGAACCACTGTTCTATATGAAGTACTGTACTAGAAATAGTAACTGAATTATATCATTGAATTTTTCGTGTTTTTGAAATGTAGTTTTGTAGGCTTGATATTATATTCACTCATTCATTAAGATTCACATTTTTATTATTTTAGGGGAGAAAAGAAAAGCTGATAAATAATCAGATGGTAAACAAGGCCTCTCGTTAGGTTGCCATTCCATGTCGGGTGCAGTAACCAGTTAATCGTTTCGAGTACGCTCACGTAATGACAGAGGAATTTCCGACCAATGGTTGTAGGGAGAATGTAACACACGACCCACGGGTCATAATCCGAACCGCTGATGTGACCCGTAAGAGACTTGGTACTATTTTGAAAAAGGATGCATAAAAAGAAACTTCTCTTTCGGCATCACGAATGCTTCTGTGGGCTGTACATTTTAAAACTGAAGTTGTTAGGAATCAGCTTACATTTTAGCATTGGAATTACCTATATAGGCAACGCAGGTTTGAATTCTTGGGTTCAAATCTCATGCCTACCACCTCGCCGAGAGTGTATTGATTGGTTGGCGATGCGAAACCGGGAAAATTCCCGATTTAACACAGTTTTTCCCAACCTATGAACTTCAAGTATGTGAAACCTAATGGGTTGTTTGATGGTCCGGCCCCCAACGTCATCATATTTTTTTTGTTTGGCCCCTTGCGATAAACAGTTGCGAATCCCTGACCTTAAACTATACGAACAATTTTTGGGTCTAGCGTACCACAAGTACTTCCAGTGGCGTAGCATAAAGATTTTTGCATATGTCATTCCTAACTCACACCTGACTATGCCATCCAAAAATGACGTTACTAAGACGTCACAATCGAGTAAAAGCAAAGCTACGATTGCCGAAAATGACATCTGTGCCGACGATAACGAACTCGTTAACACCAGCAATCTTTCGATATCGGATTCAATGAAACGATAAAACGAGAGAAATAGCTTTCTCGATTTCGGGTGATCGCCTGCACGTTTTGGACGACATTGCGTATACTTTATAGCAGGGGTTCCCAAACTTTATTGGCCGCGGGCCAAAATTAGAATCGAAAAGATGTTCGCGGGCCGGAAGAATGTAGCGCCCAAAAGTGGATTCACTTTCATTTGACATTTTTTTGAAACATGCTCGTTTGACTCATAATAGCGCTCAATGTTGTATTCCTTCAGAACTGGAATAATTCGTTGGCAAAGTAGACAAATCTCTGAAGTTTGATACTTTTCCATGGAGAAATACGAACACTGCCATTTATTCAAGAAACGTCAATTTTCTGAGTCTAGTTTTCGTTTGATTTCTGACATCCCTAAGCTTTCCTATATGGCTGATAACTAACTTACTGTCCTTTGTAATTCTAACACCGGTACCCATAATTGATATACTGTACTGGTATAATTGAATTGTTACGATAAACACGTGCTTGAACTCTGATAATGACATAAATTAGCGGTATCTAGATCGCAAAAAAGGTAGAAATAAAACTGTTGAACACTATTTCACGTAAGCGCGGCGGGCCATTTTAAATCGTTACGCGGGCCGGATTTGACCCGCGGGCCGCGGTTTGGGAACCCCTGCTTTAGAGGGTCTTATTACATCACTGTGACGTCGTAGTTACGTAATTTTGGAATGACGTAGTGAGGTGGGGGTAAGGAATGACACATGCAAAAAACTACTAAACTACACCAGACCCGAATTCTCCGGGGTCAAAGGTCGTAGAAACTTCCATCGTGGTAAACCAAACAAAAATACGAAAGCGTTATCTCCGTATTGAGGGTTGTTTATTCACGTAGTTGAGTCAAATATTAATAAATAAACTCAGTGTTAGAGCTACGCTGTTGACAAACTGTTCAATCGTGTACGAAATTATTCGAGTCGCGATCGGTCGATGGGTTGTCAGCTAGCGTTGGCACTGAGATTCAGGTGAAACATATGAGGGAAAAGGAATATTTTGTCGAGGTGAAAAAAGTTGTATTAGAAAAGAAACTCTCCAAAAAAGCTGTGTATTACCTTGTTATTTCTCTGCCCCACATTTTTTTGATCTGTTTCCTAATACAGCTAGGATAAACAGAAATGGTTGTTTGCAGTAGGTATATCTTTTATTAGCAATAAAACTGTTTGTAACTTACAGTGTGTGTTGTGTATTTACCTGATCATTTTCACCGGCATATGAGGCACTTTCTAAAGATTAAAATACAATTTTATTAACGTTAAGAAGTAAAGTATGGTGTCACATCTAAAGATTAGAGGGATGTTTGAAATTTTAAGAGGGGGTTCACACCTGTATAGGGAAGGGGTAGGAAAATCACCGGTGAGAAGTAACATGAATCAGCTTATTCTACTAACCTAACGCAAGATAAGCAAAATAACAGAAAGCAAATCAGGAAATTGGTATGAGAACTTACTACCTAAACGATTACTTTGGCTCGAACTTCTTCTTCAAGTTGTGTATAGGGACTGAAATCTATGGGCAGGGGGTATATTCACTTGGCCAACACAGACAGTCCTCAAACTCGTAATAGAACTAAAAAAGAAAAATCGGATCCAATTTCAACAAATAAATGAGTTTTGTGTCAAAATTCGTTTTAAAAAAATATAGTTTTAAAAAAATAAAGTATTTTGGGGAGTTTTAGCTTGTTTTTATCTTTTTTTTTTCAGTGTATCTTTATGTCTTCTTTTGTGAAATAGCATTAAAATCATAGCCTGGCAAGTAAATAAACTATGGATGAAGTATTAAAGTGCTCTTCTTGTCAAACAAGATTTGAAACAACTGGGCCGAGAGAACCGAGAATGCTTCCATGTCAGCACACATTTTGCAGGGGTTGCATTGATGATATAATAGAACCGTATGAGTAAGTACCACCAACAACTGTCAAAATCCACAGAAAATCTTGCAAAGACGTGAAAAAATATCCAAAAACCAAAAAAAAACACCAAAAAACGTGAAAACGAATATCATTTTTATCATATCATTTTTACAGAGTAATATGTCCAGTCTGTCGCAAAGTTCATCGTCCGGCAACACCTTCTGGAGAAATATAAATGAATAATACAATTATCCGGTTGCTTGATGCTCAGGTAGTTGTTTTCATTCATATTATTTAAAAACTGTCCACCTAAAAACAATTATCATATGTATTCTTGGGAGAGGGGAGCCGATAAGACAACCCGGGCCTATGGAACACTGGGGGCCTCTCATCATTTACGATCCATCCTAATCTTTGGATTAGTTCATTAGTTGCTAAGTAAATCGCAACCAGAATTTAATAGAAAGAGTCACGTGTACAATGTGAAATTGTTGCACTTATGATTAGGTATTTTTTTTTTCAGAAACCAAATATAGTTGAGGATTTCACAACACTCTATTTTATCAATGTATTGCTTTGGATCATTCGTACAATAAATCACTCAACGCCATTTTACCTGAAGCTCAGATATAAATCAGTGGCAAAATTTCTTTCGGAAATGTTCAAAAGACCGCTTGCGTTTTACCCCGAACCAGAAATGTCTGAAGACGAATCGGGTTGTATTTTCGCTTTTTGGTTCCTTGCTCTTACAATTTATAGTTACATTTGGCCAACTGTAAAAAAGACTGTTTTAAACTTCTGGTCTCTACCCTGTTGGAAGGCTTGAAATGATGATCAACACTTCCCACATCTGAACGTATGTTTCTTGTCGCTTGTCTCGTAATAGGAAATATACGCATGGTGGATAGGATGCGCCCACTTTACAGTGAATTGTATACAACTGGAAGAAAATACCGGGCACCACATCAAATGTACCGTCGCCGAGATATGTGTCACTATCTAGATGTGCAAGTAGTGATCGATCTCCAATGGCCATTATCCGATGACGATCCTCCGGGCCAGTGTCATGCAAAATGATATCTAAATATTTGCTCGGAATATCAAAGCTTGCACTTGTAGGATTCGTACGTGAACAATTTTTCTGTCGCCTTACTCTGCGTATATTGGCCTCCAGAGTCGACTTGCCTGGCAAGCGCATTTGTACATCTGTTGATCTATTATTCAATACTTCACCTAAAATATATTTTGTCGATGTATTTGATGGTGTTGATGCTGCTTCTTTTAATGTTGCACGGATGAACCCAACTTCAGTCTTAATGCTGTCGCCAGAAGGACTGTGATATCCTAGTTCTTTTATTACATTTTCACCGATCGTAACAACAGTCGATTTACATCGAAATTTCCTAAACTGACGG